AATTGTATAAAAAACCTGTTTATGGAATTTCGGTAATTGCATACGGAGAATGAGAAAACTGCAAATTTCGTTTATTAGTCCTGCCTCCGAAAAGGAAATTTGTCTTTGGAGAGTTTTATTTTATTCAATTGAATCTAAAATTAACTGATAATACGTTTTAATCCAATCGGATAATGAAAATTCGTGGAAGAATTCGATCACAGAATTGGTTAAAATTTAACACTTTTTTTCCTTTAAACTAAAATCTTGACATACGAGATAAACGGGTTTTATACAAAAAGCAGAAAATTACTTTCCATGGAAAACCTAAAATCAGTTGAAGTTTTACATTATTGATTTCTGAAATATATAGCTATGTATGTACGTTCGTCTGTTCTAGGATGAATTATAGCTTTTACCAAATAGAGCATTGGAACTTATGGTTATACTAAATATACCAGTATTTCAAAAAGATATGTTAAACGTCTAACGAAATTGCCATAAATTATCCAATACTATCCAGTGCATAGATAATTTTAAGATATTTTTATATTTTTAGCTTTTGAATTAAACGCAGTTTCCCTGCTATGTAACTTCTTTAATGCGCTTATTTATTTTGAGATAATATTAATTTTACTAAGAGATAAACAAAAAAATATAGATTTACTAAACCTTTTAGCAAATGTACAAACCAAAATACAATTCACAGTTTTAAAAGCTTTTCATTCACAATTATAATAGAATCCTAGACAAACTTGATGTGCTGGTATAGTACTACTTTCTTATATCTCACAAAACCAAACAAAAAATGTTTATCCTGTGTACACAAGCAAATCAAAATTGTTTCCTAAAAATATGAAAACAAATAGTTATTTATAATGCATATATTTTTGCTATAATAAAAGAACTTACTTGATAACTTTTAATAATATATAATAAATATTTTAAAACGTTTAAATATCCTTTTTAAATTTTCCAATAAAAATACTACTACACCGACCACATAACCGCCAGCCAAAACAAACCAACCAAATTGAAAGTGTTCCAAGGTTAAAGGTCTAGCTATTTTCAGCGTTGGCATGCGCATAGTTAAAATTCTCGAGCAATAACCATCTTGTATGGCTTCCAAAAACCATTTATCAATCAAACCAGCTGCATTAGATCTCAAAATAAAACGATTTAAAGGTCTTTCGTATTGTGAATGAGCGGGCATTAGAAATCCAAAAGGCATAGTGGTTAAACATTCCTTGACGATTTGACTTACGGGTCGCCTTAAATGTATTTGCTGGTTTAAAGAGAATTGTATGCGATCTGCTAGATCTGCATAAGAGTGATGTGTATTTAAAGCCAATATATCATCCATTAATTCCGAGGCATTGCGGGCATGTAAAAGTTCAGATAAAGCTTTTGGTAAATCACGATTAGCTAAAATGGTAGGGATTTCATAGTCCACTACATCCACTATTATACGGCGTTGTATCAGTTGCGCTAATGTATCAATAGTAGGCTTGAATGTAAGACCCGAAAAGAAACTAGTTAAAGAGGCCATATATAAATTGGAGAATATAAAACCCATGACCACTATTAAACTAAACCATAAGGCATTAAACCATTTGAAATGTACATAACAGCAAGATGTAAAGGAGGGTAAATACATCATTAATCTCCAAACATTTAAAAATATTTCGGTCACATCTAAAGCTGCTGATGATCTATGAGCCGAACGTTTGTGTTTTACAAACCAACCAAATAATTTGGCCCAGCTTAGGATGAACCAAGTGGCTAAAAAACTAAACCATACTTTACTCTCAAAAGGCATTATAAAAAACTTATATTTTGATTGTTCCTTTGGAAAGGGTACCACCACACATCTTTGCAGCATACGCAAAGGATAACTTAAATGCACTCCTTTATAGGGTATATAAGGATTAATGGCCAAATCAGCTTCATCATTTTCAACTCTTTGTATTAAATCGAATATATTGTAACTTTTATTCATATTAAAATACATTAAATCCATTTCGGCATTATATTCCTTGAGAAAGGCTTGAAATAGAGTGGCTACATAGCCTAGAAAGTGTTTCTTATGTTTGCCCACACATTCTCTTTTCTCAAATACTCTAGGTGGATCAAATTGAGCCAGGGTTCTTATTTTATATTTATGTAAATTCCGAAATTTATCTGGATACAACTCCAATTTGTTAAACTCCGTCATATTTGTTATTTTCTGGCCATCGAAAAGATTGTAGTTAAAAATTTCATATTCCAGCTGATAATATTTCTCATTGTCCACTAGAATTAAAGCATTAGTGAAACCTTTTCTCCAGCACCATTCAAAGTGTTCTCTTAAATCCAAACGTGGATTTCTTCTTCTGGGTAGTTTAGTTATGAAAACACCCTTAACATAACCCTGTCTACCCAAAAAGGCTGTATTTAAATGATTCCACCAGGCTTTATGTTCTAATGCTGCCACCGCTATGAAAAATATTTTTCTATTAAACCCCGTCTCATAATTAAAACTAATGTCACCATAATTTCTTGTCATCACTAGTTTCGGTATATTATTGGTCTCTGCTACTCTTATGTATGGCTCAATGTCTTGAGATTGTCCAAATATTGCCAAAGTTAAAATTTCTGTTGAATTTCCGGCTGCATTTATAATATCATTTAATTCCTGCAATTGCCAAGTAGCTTCCATGCTAAGAAGTGTTATGTTAAGTAGTTGCAGCAGAAAGTCCATGTTTACCGTTGAAAGTTTAAAACGAAACTGAATGTGTTTGATTGGGTTTCCATCAAAAAGTATTGAGCAGAATTCTTTAATAATTTGCACACTAGTTTGTCAAAGCAAAATTTATGAAAAACAGATGTCATTGTTAAGTTGTCTACATACACATAAGTATACTTTCTCAAGTAATATTAAACTCATCTATATCCAGAGAAATATCAGACATAAAATTGGTGGTAGACTGTATTATAGGACATAAAATAATATCAAAATTTGTATTTAGCAAATCAGCCATTAGAGGGGGGCGTACCCAACATCAAACCCTATTGATGCTATGAGGAATGCTCAATTCCTTAGAACATTCTCATCATCTAAAGACTCATCCCAGTGTATTCACTAATCTCTTAAAGACGCACAACTACACTCATGAGATGGCTCTGCAGTTTCGGCAACAGCACCTAAAGACGTAATTGGTGGCCCGTTTTAAATTGACAAGATTTGTTTCAGTGGCCATTAGGACATACTGTGATGTGTTGAGCATATGTTCGAGTAAACTTCAACACACTTAACCATAAAGAAAAGGATTAAGGCATTAACAGCTCCACTTAGCTTTGCCAAAACATCTCCCTCCATCCGTCACACCTCAAAAACACTCAGAGTCACTTTCATCCATCCATTTCAAATATCCGATGGTACATCGCACACCAAACACAAACGCAATTTTTTCATTATTAGCTAAAATTCAATATTCTATTAAGCCACAGCCTTACACTGCGATTTGTACAGCTCCTAGAAACTAGGAGCGGTACTGGAAGAGTTGACTAGACGACTCTTACACCCAGGCGTCAATTTTTGTACATGATTCTGACGGTCCATGTACAAGCACTTTGCTCAAGTACTCTCTCACCATTGCCGCCCAGACTATAGCGTGCATCAGTTTTTTAACCGACATTCTCTTCCCGCGAATTTGGTTTTAAACTAAAGCCACCACCTGCACGCCGAAGAAACATCTCCAATAACCAGGACAAGACAAATTCATAAACTCTGACTTGCAGATTATCGATTCCCATGGTAACAGATTATGTGGTTCTCTAGTTCTTGCCATGTAAAATCATTCCAAGGAAAGGCCGATGATACATTTGATGATCACCAGTTTATAGTCCCGACAGACTAGAGATAATGGTAGCGCTATTGCAATAACTCCAAGATAAAGTCTTTCATCAAGGTAAAATGCATCCGGGGGACTAGGAGTGTTAACAAATGAATGCCGAAGTGCTCTACGTAAACACCTGCCTTGGTTGGCCTATTTCATGGAGGTCTTTTTCATCCACTGGGTGATCTTCTGTGGCGACTCATTACCGCCCCATTGTACTTCTTACACGCAGGTGGCAAACCACAGCCACTACATGGACCCAGAAGGAACTTCAACCAACTGACCATCCAGGACAAAGTCCTGCCGGTAACTGGCCATCCGTAGTACGAGATTATCTGGTGCTCTGGTTCGACCCCATATCAAATCATTCCAAAAAAAGGCCGAGGATACATTTGACCGTCAAATATTGGTCTTTAGATGACAAAACTAAAAATTGTTCCAGTTACTTACAATATGTTTTTCTTTATGCTCTTTAGCGGAGTTTTAGCGACAAAATAAAAAAAATATTTATTTCAACTAATTAACTACATAAAATCACTGTGCAGTAAATATTAAAAAATCAATTTATTTTCACTATTTACTTTTCAGCATTCCTAATAAATTAAATGAATTTTAAAATTATTAGTTTTGTTTGAAAATCAAACACAGGCAGTAAATCAAAATAACACACTGTTAACAATTTATTACTACACATCACAAGTAGTAGTAAGGTTCCTACAAATACCTGCATACATACAACAAAAAATACTTGTTTAAACCAATAACATCCACTTTAATGAATGAATAAAATCCAATATTATTCCCTACACGTGACATGTGTATTCATGCGCATGCTTATTACATTGTAAACAAAATACTTGCTGGTACAATGCACCCAAAGGAAAACCAAACGTAATCTACACATCATATGTACACGGCATTCATACACACATTCAACATACTAAAGCAAAATTTAACAACAACAAGTCAGTCAGTTTGTAGCTGTCAGTCATTATTTTCATGTTTGGCGCCTAAATCTAATACATCCTTACAAAACTCACACATTTACACTTTAAGCATTTGAACATGTGTTTGTGTACGTACGTATACATAAGTGTGGTTGTGGCAATAGCTGTGACAAAATAGGCAAAAAGCAAACAAACTAGACTAGAAGAAGGAGGCATAGTCACCAAGTCACACAAAATAATAACGGAACTTAAGTTTTCGAGACAATTTGATTTTTGTGTTAGTTGCATTGCAACCATTTGTGCGTGTAAAAGCTTTTCGCCAGAAAACGGTTAAATTGAAAAAAATATTATAAATATTTAAATAGAATATTAAACATAAAAATTTCTAGAAAATTTATTAAAAATATGAGTTGTTGTTAATTTTTTTATCAAAATTCTTTTAATATTACAAAAAAAATAGTTTAAAAAATGTTTATTTTAAAACGTCCTTTATTGATACTGTGGTGGTAAGTGTGTTTTTAAGTGTTTGACGCTTGGGTTATATTTTTAAAAATGAAAAAATCAATTAACAATTTTTTTTAATATCGTCTTTAATGATGTGCACTTCCGTAGATTATCTAAATTACTGTGGAGGTGAATATGTGACTTCATATTTTTAGACAAATTATTATTATTTTTTTTTTTTTTTCAAAAGGAAAATTAAAAGTGATGAGTGAATTTTAAGCATAAATTTATATAAATGTTTTTTAAAGTTAAATTTAAAAATATTTAAATTTGTTTTAAAATTTACAAAATTTATTATGAAAATGTTCATTAAATATTTAGGGTCAAGGTTTAGTAGAAACATTTTGTATAAAAATATGATTAATAAACCTTTGCTAAATTTTTATGAATAAGGCCCTTAAAATCAAACATAAAAAGCAATTTTTTGTAGAACTTATCAGATTTCAAGGGGAACTAATAACAAAAGTTATTTTAATTCTTAATACAAAAACGATTCAGTGTAAAACCTGAAAATCTTCAAATACTGGAGTAAAATTAACAAATTTGCAAAGTAAGTAAAAACGACAGTTTTTTGGAATCGAATATTTTCTTGTGTTAAAGTAACGAAGTGAAAAAATTCAAGCCCATATTTCAAAAACTAAAAGAGACAAAAACATTAAAATTTTTAATCATTAATCATCATATAATCACACTACTGCCGATATGATGAAAATATGGACTTTTTTTGCATTAAAAACTGAGAAAAAACTTTAAAGTCCATATTACTTGAAAACTAGTAAGTGAAAATTTTTAATCACTTTTTATTTTCAAAAAGTCAACAGTCAAGTAAAACGGTAGAATATATGACCCTTTTATTCACAAGCAAACTTTTATTGAAATGAAATCAAAATATTACATGATTCTCAAAAGGACCAAAAAATTGTTCACCACAGAAATACACTATTGTAGAAAAAATATTCGCAGTAACAAAAAGTTTAAATTCTAAACCTTTAAAGAGTTTTTTCCTACAAGTCTTTAAGTGAAAACATAAAAGGCCATTTCACTCGAAATCTAGAAGCTCTACAGACAACTCACTATAATGTGTAATTTTAGAGAGAATCTTAATTGAGGAATTCAATTTTATATTCAAAAAATTTTTCCTATGGTAACTGATTTGTAAGAGTCAGTAAAAATTTTCTCAACTCCCTAGTGACAGAACTGTAATGATTTTTCCATCGAAGTATTTTCATACTTTCCTAATTTCCATACTATAATTTTCCAACCCTATGCAGTATAACAGTAAATACATTAGAATGGCCTCTTTTGTATAGAGAAAAATAAGGTACTGATTTTCGAAACGAAAATGTAAAAAAATTTAAAAACCATTTCTCAAATTTTTGTCCTAGAGTCAAAGGACAAAAAAAGTCTGTCTGTCCGTCTGTCTGTTTGTCTGTATATCTGTCTGTCTGTATATCTGTCTGTATGTCTGTATGTCTGTCTGTCTGTCTGTCTGTCTGTCTGTCTGTCTGTCTGTCCGTCTGTCTGTCTGTCTGTTTGTCTGTCTGTCTGTATATCTGTTTGTTTGTCTGTCTGTCTGCCTGTCTGTTAAAATCAATTTGTTAAGACTCTGTGATCCATATATTTAATTGTCAGACATACTTTCGAAAAGATATTATCAAAATTCTTAAAAAACTCATGATAATACTGTTAACAAAACAAAAACATATTTTTTCATTACCTAGCAGGAAATTTCAAGTGAGCGAGATGCGAGGCCCACATGAAAAAATAAGTATTAAAAATCGTATGTCTCAGAAACTGCAACATATAAATTCCTAAAGTTTTGTATAGACAACTAAGACATACATACAAAATGTGAGTCTCGCTATGGTGGGCGTGGCCTATATAAAGAAGTACTTAATAAAGTGCTGAAAAAATATAACAGCTAGAGGTCCCTCTTTTTTCGGAGTCACATTAGTACCAACACGACTATTTAAGGTATTTAACGAGCCGACTAGCAAAAGGAGGTGTGTCACCTCCCATATGAATTAAACACAAGAATACGTTTATCTGGAAAACTATTAGAGATAAAATCTTTACATTTTGTATGAAGAAGATGTGAACATTTGTAGAAAAAAGGCGGACTTTCATTAGGGAGACTTAGAACCTCTCAAATTAATTTAATAAAAATTCGTATGTTCAGGAAACTTTTAGAGCTAAAATCTTAAAATGGGGTTTTTATTTATATTTTTTAAATCTATGCCTAATATATACGAAAATTGTAGTACATTGTGTGAATCTTTCATTGTTTCGCATTACGAAATTATTTCGTAATATATACGAAGTTGTACGAAATATTTTAGTATAATGCAAAATAATATTGGAAAAATTAATTTAAATAAATTGAAAAAAGTGAATTTTGAATAAATATGGTAAAATTTACAAAATATTAATTTATGCAAAAATTTTTTTTCATTTTAAAATAATTTTTCTAATTTTAGTTAAAAACTATTCTCCACACGAATTTTTAATTTTTTTTATGAAAATAGTTCGTGAATTATATTATACTTTTTCTTAATTTTTATGAAAATGTTTGTAGTTTTATTTAACGATAATATAATTAATATCATTATGTTTAATTTCGCTAAAATTTAAGAAAAAAGTATTACGAAAGGTTCTCGTACTTTCGTAAAAATAGAAAAGGGTCTTATTAAATAATATTTCGTATTATACACGAAATTTTTGTAAATATTACGAAAAAAGAAGTTACGAAATTTTTTTTCGTAAAGTTAAGCATGGATTATTTTCAGTGTATAAATAAAATTTTACACTTTTTGCATCTTTGCAAAACTTTTTAAAATTTGTATACCCTACACCACTTTAGTGGGGAGAGTATATTGGGTTTGTGCTGATGTTCGAAACACACAAAAATATTTGTCCTATACCCACCTTAAAGTATACCAATTGGCTTAGAGCTCACCAGTCCTGACGACCTTTCCAAATTTCATAAAGATTGAGCCTCATTTGACTCTATCTCCTATACAAAGTCCTCTTCAGAAAATGGGTTGAATGTTCAAATTTTATAAATACTAAATCCGTATCGGTCCATATTTGCTCCTAGGCCCCATATTAAGCCTGTTTCAAATGCAATGAGCAAAATATGCTCTAAAATTTTAAATATGCAAATATTCCTACGATTTCTCAAAAAGATAAATAACTTACCAATATGCTTATACAACAAACCAACTGTAAACTTTTTGGTTACCCTGATCTTTGTCATTACAAATCTAATTTTTCTAATTGACCCAAAGCTACATATTGCCTCTTTGCGACAATTATGTAAAAATAAATGCCTAATTTTAAACAATTTATCATAGGAAAATTCACACCAGTTAATGCGAGAAAAAAAACAATATTTTTAAAACAAAACAATTTGCCTAATAGCGTTTTACAAATAAACAATGCTTACAGCTAAATTTCGAAAATAAGCGATAAATAAATACTTTATGTGGTGGACATTGTCATACATAAACTGTAAAGTATTTTCTCTAATAATATGAAATTTTAGCTAAATATAGCAGACTTAAGCTAAACGAAATTTAATAATTGATAATTGAAAAAATATGCCAAAACTGAAAAACAAAAATTTAATTATTGATGTGTCTGCGAGACTAGTAAAATGTACAAAGAATACATATACATGCATACAAATTTCTATAATAAATCAAGTGACGGATTATGGAAACAATTAAAATTTTACTGTACTAATGAAGACATAAAGATAAGAGGACTCGTGACTATACAAGTACAATATATGTATACAAAACCATAATACTAAATCCATAAGCTTGATTGAAATAAAACGTCATCATGGGAGATGATTTGTAAGCGTTTGAATGGTTTGAGTTAAATTCACCTACAAGTATGCAACATATTTGAGATATATATATGGTTTTCCTCTATACATGTGGTTCAACGTGGTGCCCTACTGTTTTTGTTTAAAATGTGGTATTTTTTTCCAATATATTTTTTTTTCGTAAAAAAGCCAAGTAAATCAAGAGATTGTTTTTTGCAAATATAGCAAAATTGCTTAAGCTGTCACACTACTACATAACAAACAGTTTAGGTTAAGTGCAATGCAATGAACAAAAAAAAAAACTACAGAATTCAAGTGCATTATCCATCCATAACAACTGCTATAATAAAATAAACAATATTCTATAAAAACACACACAAACACTCGCACGCTTGTCAGTTTGTTTAATACGAATGTATGCGTAGGGTTTTATAGACAAATATATAAGTGTGCGTTACACAGAATGACAAATAATAAAGAGTACATTTAGTAATTGGTAGTACTTACATGGAATCTAGCAAAATTTTTCACATACGCAGCAGGAAATCGTTTCATTTGAAGCATTTCCGTTTTTGTCTTTTCATTATTTTCTATGTTTTTATCTCCTAATCTATAAAAATAACTTTTCTTTATTTTCCACATTAAATAATTCCAATTTATTTTTATTGTTGCTTAACTTTATAATTTTGTGCAAATTTTATATACAAATAAGTTTAAACTTTATATGAAAAAAAGTTAACATACTGTACGTATGAGTAATATTAATTGGAGGTAATATTAGAAAATATTCAATAACTTTCGTTTAAATTGACCTAATTAAAAAAATTTAAATGCATTGAGTAGCTTAAGGTATATGTTATAGTTGATGGTAAGCTAAAGTTCTGAAATTCAATGTTTTGACTGAAAATTTTATATTGTTAAATAAGGATTTCTATATGTTTTTCATATAATTATATCCTATTGTATGCATAAAACCTTTCCACTCTATACCCAACACTTTTTTCGCACATCCCTGTTGAAATTTTTTCTCCTATATTAAAGTACATTTTCTTACATTGTAGTTGTAGCTTTTTTCTTTTTATTTTTTTAATAAATTTATTAAAAACTTTTATCCGTATCTTTATATAAAAGTAAATTCTTTGATGTATTGAATAAGGGGGACAAAAACAA